TCTAGTTCTTTTAGCTTTGACGTTATCTGTTGCACAGAGAGAGCTAACCGATTGTATCTGGAGAAAGAGAAAAGAAAATGCATGTTACTACAATGCAATAATAATAATAATAATAATAATAATAATAATAATATAATTTAACTATATTCACAATGGAAATTTTATCATATTTAATTCATGATAACTATGGTCATTCGCAAAATGCATTATTCGTAAAAATGGCAAATTTGTTCTTGCTCTAATTATTAATAATAATTATTATTCTTAATTAATCCCAAGCCACACCCACTCAATGCTCCTCACTTGGTGTAGTCTTCTCTTTTCTGCAGTTGGTATTTTCTAATTATTCGTATTTCTCTGTGATCCCTATCGCTCTTCCATGTGATAAAATCGACTTTCTTTAAAAGCTTCTTCTCGTGATACTTTAATTTCCTCACCATTTTTAAAGGACCACGAGATCGCGGTAAAATACGCGCGAGATTACGAAGCCACGCCCACTAGTAGTAAAGTATGCGGAAATTAGCGGTAATGCACGGAAGCGGTAAAAATCTTATTTTCTCTATGATAACACTACATGTTTCTGCATTTTCTCGACTGTTGTGTTTTTGTGAGAGCTCTCCCTCTTCTCGGCAGTCACTCTAGTCCTGCCCATACACTCCAGGGCATTTTGAGTATTTCTGAGCCATAAGCGCTCTTTTCTCTCACTGCTTCTCCCTTGTTCTCCCTTCCCCCGATAATCCTCTCCGTCATGACTCTAGCCCGTACGCTCTTCTTGCTGTTGGCGTGTATGGTCGTATACTCTTCGTGTGAGTTTTAGTTGTACTTCATTCTCTGCCACAAGCGCCTCGCCCTTTGCTTATTTGCTAAAATCCGTTCATTCCCAATAATCCTGCTATCATTTTTCTGCTATCTTCCATTTCCTGTTGGCTGTACTACATTCTACTCTTCCTTATCCAGCACTCTCTCTCTCTTTTTTAGTCATGCCCACTTATTCCTAAATCTAATGCTATGTATTTTCTTTCTTTTACCATATAGGCACTTGTTCTCAGACCTGTGTTCATGGTACATGTGATAGTGCTAATACTTGCATGTAAGTTTTTGCACCTCGTTGCAGCAAAAATACATTATCTATACTTGTATGATACAAGCACTTTATTTATTTATTAATAAGCTACTATAATGAATTGGGGATTATTTTATAGACGTGACTAGGCTAAACCCTCCTTTCTCTGCCTCCTTATCTCTCTCCCTCTCTGTGTACATGTATGAAGTTACATTGTCCTCATTCTCTTTAATATATTCATTGGAGTTCATAATGTCCCTGGAGGGCTAGCTGCACACCTGCCTTCTCTAGCTGTCCTGCCCCTAATCCTCCTTCTCCTCCCTCTCTCCTTCCCTCTCTCCCCCCTCTGTAAACAGACTTACTTTTATCCGGACCTATTAGTCATCTACTGTATAAATAATGGACCTCATTAGCAACAACCCCCATTCCTGTGCTCTTACATATACATATGTATCAAAACTCATGTTAAAAGTGTATTTTATGATATGCTGCTGTTTGTTGCAAGATATAGATGTACCCTCTTCAATATTGATAGCATTAATTAACTTATGCTTGCAGTATGACTGGTCAAGGAAGTTGATACTGTACCTGATGAGTCAGACATTCTCATTCCCACCCTCTCCCTCTCTCTTTCTTTTTCTCTCTCCTTTCCTCTCTCTCTTACTCTCCCTCCTTCCCTCTCTCTCCCTCTCTTTCTCTCTCTCTCTCTCTTTTTACCCACAACCTTGCCAGCATGTCTGTGCCCTATGTCTGTGCCCTATGAGCTAACTTAAAATGAATGCTTTGTCTGCCTACTTGTTACACAATAAATAATTGATACGTCTATAATTACGTGCCCATCTGTATTTATACTACGTGTACATGTTAATGTATTATATCATTAATGCATGCATGTTATAAGTGAGTACTGTGTACATGTTGCTAGAGCTATAGCTGCAAGAAATCATTTATAGTGTGTAGTTTGTGTCCTTCTGTTTGATGTTGAGGCTCCAGATGTTGTGGCTCCCTTTATTGGTGATGCCATAGCTGACTGCCCTGCATATTTTTGTATCTTTGCCTTTCGTATTTTTATACCCTTGCCCAGCAAAATTTTAAACGTGCATGCATATGAGTTCTATTTTGTATTTATTTTGCCAACTCTGGCTATTTATGATCAACTATAATTTGATTGGTATAACTTCATTTTTTTTAAAGATTTGCTGACAAAATTTGTTGAAATGTTTGCCATATTTCTTGCTAAAAGTTTATTATTCTTGTTCCACTACACGTCATGACATCAATTATGTTCTCCATTTGTTTCAAAGCATAATACACAACCAGTCATCCTTAATATATAAAACTACATGTATATATATTAGACTCAATGCATTATATTTTATGTATATTAATTTATTTCCAATATAGCTGTGATCAGAATTGGTTTGGAACCAATTGCACTGAATTTGCCTGTAACCCTAATAACAATCCTTGCCTTAACGGAGCCACTTGTAGCCGTGGAGAAGGAAACGACTTTATCTGTCACTGTGCAGAAGGATACTCTGGTACCCTCTGTGACGGGAACGATGGTAAGAAAAGAGAGAGAGAGAGAGAGAGAAAGGAGGAGAAGAAAGAGAGAGAGAAAGAGAGAGAGAAAGGAGGAGAAAGAGAGAGAGAAAGGAGAAGAAAGAGGAGAATGAGAGAGAAGAAATTTTCTACTACATTGTCCAATGCATGCACATTTATTTCTACAAGATGTACATGTACATGTATCTAACTTATGAATATTCATGGTTGATTCCACTACTGGGGGTTATCGAGTTACTGTCTTCTCTGTGATGGAACCCATGGGAAATGTCTCCTTGAGATGAGAACCAGTGTATTGTATAACAATATAGACTATACAAAACATCTCTGCCCATAACTAATGAGTAAACACATCATTCACTTACTCTATATGTACATATCCATCTTATGTGTATTGAATGGAAATTTGTTATAATAATCATATATACATGTATGTACATGTACATGGATATGAAATTACATGTATCTTTCACTTTTGTATGCTGTTGTCTGTGTGTGTGTGTGTGTGTGCGTGTGTGTGTGTGTGTGTGTGTATGGGTGTGTTACAGTGAATGTATATCTAAGCCTGCTAAGATGTAGTCCATGGTTGTTGTTTGGCTTTGAAACTGTGATGACTGCCAAGCCTGGTGTCAACATTTTGTTTATCAAATTAGAACCGGAGGGGAGGGTAGAAGGGAGAGAAAGATGAAAAGATTAAGATTTTAAGATAAGACAGAACTGTTCACGCAATGGAGAAGTTTGATGGATAATCGATTGGATACTATATTTAAGTGCTCCTTTGAAGCTTAATTGTATTGTACTACTAATGCTTGGAGTACATTTATGTGTATGTGTGTGTTTTTTGAAGTCTCCACAGTTGTGGCATGCCTGCATAACTTTATAAGTGAAAGAATTTGTTTGTGGAGTTTATTGCATTCCCGCGTGTATGAATAACACTGTCCATCCATCACCATGCACTACATTAATATCAGCTAGCTCCTACTCTGCAGTTCACAGTCCAACAGTAGCTGTAGTAGGGATGTGCCATAGATTAAGAGATGAGTATTATAAATAAAGCATTGCCTTTTTCCTTGAGGTGTGATGTTTGAACTCTCACATGCATAACTAGGCCCTCTTTATATGTGTTGCAGTCAAGGGAAGAAAGCAGGGACAGTTGTTACTAGCTAGAACTTTGAGATGTGATAAGAGTCTCACTATTGATACTACAATGAGTATAGTGGGTAGATAAGAATGGATTGATCTCTCTCCCACCCTCCACTAGCCTCATTCTCTTTTACTATACTTTCAGTCTCTCCACTTTCTCTCCTCTTCTTGTAGTACACTAAACCATGACAATCACTGTATGTACAAGTACGTGTACACAAGTATAAGTACATGCATGTAATCTCTTTTATTTAAAGAAGAACTTAATCGTAGCAATAATTATCTTGATCTTAGTCTGTAGGATACATATAATTAACATATTTACACATACACACAATTATTGTGACTCCTTCTCTCACTTTCACTCTCTCTCCATTTCCTATCTGTTGCCCACTATCAATCACGCTAACTAATATCACATACAGTGTACATGTACATGTATAGCTAACTACAGGTCACGTATAACTACATGCCCATGTCTAACTTCACTCTAATCTCATTCATACTATACTATCCATTCCCACCACTTCGAAACAACAACATCACATTATACCTTTCATTTGCTGTTATTCATATCTGAGGGACCTTTCATCAATCAATCGAATTTGTACCCAATAAAAGCATTTGTCCTTATTTGTCCTTATTGGTCCGTGAGCCTGCATTCATTGAACCCACTCACTAGTATTAAATGACACACACTATATTCCAAAATGTACTACTGTACGTGTATACAGTGTATTATACACGTAAGGGGAATTCATATTACAACTACATGTATACTGTCTCTGTACTCCATTGTATTGGTTGAGGGGGGTTAATGGCCAATGGTATTTATAGCCTATAAATCCAATAATTGTATTTATTTTTCATTATTGTGACTCATAATTGCCGTGTTCACTTCTCGTGTAATTACTGTCATGCCTTTGGTCCATTTTATATAATACATTGCTATATACATTGTGGATGTACTTGTGGTATATTGTAGCTGTTCATGTGTGATTAGAGTGAAGTCATTCATGTTTCTTAAATGATTGTAGTAGCAATTTATCCAATAGCTCCCCCACACATTATCCTTATCCTTTATATTAGGGACAATATGTACATGTACAGTGTATATATAATGTATGTACATATGTATTTTAGTATAATATATTTTTATTCATTGAATGTCATAGACCCTCCATGATCTCATTCTACATGCATATAAATGTAATTAATTAATGACAACATGTCATATCCTAGTTATGTACACTGATTGCAATTGCATCTTGTTTATTCAGTATCTTTTTATTCCAGGCATTGATTATGTGATTACTAATACATTGTTATTATTATTACTAGTATTATTATTGTTATTATTATTGTGGATGTGGTCATTTATTTGTGGTGGTTGTATTGTTCTGGCCTTGTATGTTAACATAAAGCTTTATCATACACTCGATTTTATGCTTTATCTTTAATTCTCATCTCTTAATTTTACTGTATCTCTCCTGACTGACTTCCTGTCTCTTTTCTTCTAATCTAATTTTACTATTAAATTATATATTTTGTTTATTTTTTAAAGCCTAGTATCTACTTCTTTCCTTTTCCTTTTTGTTTGGGACTCTCTTTTATAGTCCTTCTCCCTCCTATTTTATTGTTCTCTTTCTCCCCCCCCTCTCTCTCTCTCTCTCTCTCTCTCCCCCTCTCTCTCTCTCCCCCCCCTCTCTCTCTCTCTCTCTTTAAAACCATATGTCATATGTTTCCTCTTTCTTTCTCATACTGGTCTGCCATTCTGTCTCTCTCTCCTTTCCACTTTCTCACAGTGACTCACCTCACTCCCTACCTCTTAATGCTTCCATTGTCCCATGAGAGAAACAGGACTGTTGATATAGCTGGCCACAATCCTTGACCATTAACACCAGCTCTTGTTATACCCACAAAAACACATGTACATGTATACAAGTACATGTACATGTATATATCAAAACAACACTAAAATTTAAATACTTTTAAAATATGAATTTTATGTTGACATGATGTACATGTACATACATGTACATGTCTGCAGCATTTGGAGCTCATGAAGGATTTTTGCAAGGCAAAATATGCATGTAGCAATCCTGTTTATGTTCACTGGTTTTTCTAATTATGGGCTATGATAATATTGTAACAATGCACCATCGATCCTCTGCATTTTTATAATAAAATTTAGAGTCACATCAACTTGTCTCTTTTAGCTGCATTTGGTCACAATTAGAGGAGAGAAAGGTCATACTTTACTGATATTGCAGCAAACACTCTTTGTTTTTATTATAAGCATATTATTCCAATTTATCTATCCCTCCCCCCTCTCTCTATCACTCACAATAGCCACCTAAGACATTCCTTTTTCCTAGTCTTAAACCAACTCCGTTACCATACACCAGATGACATTAAAATAACACCTGTTCTCCAGTGGCCATTGGGAATGGCCTAATACCAGTTATCAATGACTCTGTCAACACTATTTATGATATTAGTACTATGAATGTGGTTTCACCAGTGGAGAGCCTTTGTGATTTAGTCCACATGTAGTTTTATAATTTATAAGCTTTTGCTGGGAACATTAGTTCTTTAATGAGCTATGATTTCAGCTCCCTTAACCTCCCCTGCCTCTAATTAAGATTCTTCTATACTTTATATGTACATGTACATGAGCTGTGTATATAGGTACAGCTAGCTGAGTGTTAATTATCAATTATTACATTGTACATTGTACATATACATGTAGGTTAACAAGGTGCAATGTAGTCTATGTTTTGTGAATGTCAGTTTTGTAGTACTCACTTGCATGAAGTGTGAAGTGTGATTGGAGAGCTCTTTCCTCTACTATAGGCCCTCTCTTTCCTTGTACTGTGTAAACTTTTTGTGAAGTATTTATAATATGAACCTCCTACTATCAGTGTTGATTGTGCATCTGTTCCTCACACACACTCTCTCTCTCTCTTCCTTTCTTTCCTCTCTCTCTCTCTCTTTCTCTTTATAAAATAGTAGTAAAGCTTAATCTGATTAGCCTAACTTCCTCTCAAAATACTACATACGTACATTATGTGAGCATGTACATGTACATGTACATACTCACTTCGTGCTCCTCTCATATTAGACTATAATTGTATTTAGATTGCGAGAGACAGTAACTATACCATACAAGTTCTGCTTATACTACATGTACATGTACATGCATATACTCCGTATATTATGTTGTATTGTGTGTGTGTGTGTGTGTGTGTTTCTGTGTGTTTATTATGTGGTTTCTGTTTTGTATTGTCTTGTGTGAAGGTTGCATGGGAGTGTTATGGTTAATAGTTATTAATGTTATTGTTTTTATACTCTCTCTCTCTTGTGTCTTGTCCTGTCTAACTTAACCCTGCCTCTCACCTGTTTTTGTGTGTGAGAGTCTGCGAGTGCATAATATTGTATCATCTATTGTGTTAGCTTTAATCTTTGTTCTCTTTCTCTTTCTTTGATCCTCTCTCTCTCTCTCCCGCTCTCTTTTTTCTTTCTGTACGTCCTTTATAGGTCGTATACCTATAACCCTGTGCAATCACACCTCTAGTACCTCATGTAATTATGATGGTACATGTATAGTCGACCCGTACACTGGTAACGAGACCTGTGTATGTCAGTTTGGTCGTTCTGGTCCTACCTGTAATGATGTTGTCAACTATTGTCACGTTTACCCCTGCTACAATGGAGGTACCTGCATACTGACATCAGATGGTTACTACAAGTGTATATGTCCACCTGCTTTCGATCAAAGTCCTAATTGTCTGATCAGGAATCCTTGCAGCAATGGAACGTCCCCTTGTCTAAACGGAGGGACTTGCTACTCTGTCAATGGGACCAATGCCTGTCTGTGCCCACCAGGTAAGTCATTCAGTGAAATAAAGATCAAAATTATTCTTTTTCTTTCCCCCTTTTTTGTCTCTCCAGGTTTTTCTGGTGATATCTGTAACATATCACTATCTAACTGTGATCCCTCTCCCTGTGTTAATGGAGGTACGTGCAACGACATGTCGGATTTCACGGACTACACTTGCTCCTGTCCTCCTAGCTACTCCGGTAAAAACTGTCAGAACTATACCGACCCGTGCGACGGTTTTGAGTGCCTAAACGGCGGAGTATGTGATTCGTCTCAACTCAGCGACGACGGTTCCACCTACACTACCTCTTGTAACTGCTCTGCTGGTTTCGAGGGCGAGAGATGTGAGAGAGACATTGACGAATGTACTCGGTTCTCCCCTTGTCTTCATGGCGCTACTTGTATCAATCAGTACGATGGCTATCAGTGTTCCTGTGCTCCAGGATACAATGGTACTCGCTGTGAGAATAACATCAACGATTGTTCTCCGGTAAACCCGTGTCAAAATGGCGGAAAGTGTACAGACGGTCTTAACTCCTTTACTTGTGATTGTTCAGGGACTGGTTTTACCGGTTTAACCTGTAATGTTTCGACCAACACAACTTGTTCTTCTCTTGGTTGCTTCTTTGGTGGAAACTGTCAGTTTGACAGCTTCTCAAATAGAGACAAGTGTTCCTGCCCCGAAGGCTACTACGGTGAACTCTGTCTCTTTAAAGTCCAGACCTGTTTTCTTACCAAAAGCTGCAGTGTTAGTGGTACCAGTCATTGCTCTCAAAACAATGACTGTATCTGTAAGACAGGTTATACTGGTCCAACCTGTAACACCACTGATCCTTGTGCTACTAATCAAACCTCAGACCCAAGTTGCTCGTGTCCCCCTAAACTCACCCCTGGGGAGTGTTGTAGTGATTGTGCTAACGGAGGCACATGTCTGTACTTGGACGGACGGAAAACATGCATCTGTCCCCTTGGCTGGGGAGGCTCAGATTGTACCCAGGACGTTGATGAATGTTCCACGAACCCTTGTCAGAATGGGATGTGTATAAACACAGATGGAAACTATACTTGTACTTGTGCTAGTGGTTATACTGGGAGGAATTGTGAGGTGTATAATGGATCTTGTACTAACAGTACTTGTGATAATGGAGGGGTCTGTAGGGAGACTGGTGAAGGGCCTAAATGTGTCTGCCCTCATGCAAACTGCTCTTCATTGGCTAATAACAGTATCTGTGATGTAAGTTACACTTTGCTAATAATGCTTAAAAGCACAGTGTAGCCTTTATAAGTATCACAGCTTCGACATTTTGTAATGTCCCAATTGGTAAAAGCCTATGCAAAAGTACCTCTGAAATGAGGATACCTTTGTATTAAGGACAGGTAGTGTGGGCCCAATGGTGTCCTTAATAAAGAGGCTACACTGTGCATGTATTAAGGACAGGTAGTGTGGACCCAATGGTGTCCTTACTAAAGAGGCTACACTGTGCATGTATACATGTACACGCACCTTCATATTCATAATGTTTGTTACATGTGGCGTCTGAATGCTGTGGGAAAGTTTTCAGTATATAATTTAGGAGCTGTCAGGAAAGTTGTAAACAGCCTATTTATGAGTGTGTACTCCTGTTTGAGAAACAGAATATGAACTTTATCTTTGTTAGCATTATTACACAGCTAGTAATATTTACATAACAGTGGTAGCTTTTGATTTACAGATTCCAGGGAGGAGGGGGGAGAAGACAACTTTTCAAAGTTTTTGTGTTATTTTTATGTACATTTTATGCATGGAGTGAAGTTTTGTGGATATACAATTCAATAATCAACATATTTCAGCCTACGCTCATTTGATTATTTGGCCATAAATTGTTTCTGTTAATAATAATAATTTGTCTGTCAACTTGTAATAATATAACCAATATTTGCAATGGCACTCTTCCATTAGCTGCATATGTATACTTAATGATGCATTGAAGTGTGTGTGTGTCGGTGATAGAAAGAGGTAGTAATGAAGTTTATGTGTGACCACTCCTGTCCCTTTGATAGCTTGTGCTTGTGTCTTGTTTTGACTGCTTAATGTGAGAAGGAGTGGGAGGGAAAGAGAGAGAAGAGTTGTGTGTGTGTGCGTGTACATTTTTATACATGTACATGTACTTGCATGTTTGAAACTAAATGTGTGTGTGTGTTAGGATGTGTGGGGGCATACATGTATGTTGTGGTTGTCAATGTATTGTTGTGACTTTCCCTTCTCTCTCTCTCTGGCCTTCTTCTCTTCCTATTTCCTTTTCATTTTCATTCTCACACCTCTGACTCCCATATCCCATCTCTTTAATCCTTCCTCTCTCCCCCCTCCCTCCCTCTCCCTCTCTCTCTCCCTATAGCTCCATTGTTTCACCCCTGCCTGTGGTTATGACAGTTCTGACTGTACATTCAATGGGAACAGGACAACCAGCATATGGTCACAGTGTCCCTTCACCGACTGTAGGTCCAGCTATAAAGATGGTGTGTGTGATCAAAAGTGCAATAATGCCCCTTGTCTTTACGATGGGAATGACTGCTTGTTTTCACTGCCATCCTGCCCTCAACAGTAAGTTAAAGTCAGATAGACAGACACTGTATTTGGGGGATTTTATCATTATAACTTATTTCTCACTTTGCTTATACAATGTAAATAATTTCTTTCATCTCTCTCTCTCTCCTATAGAAATATTACTAGGTGTTCTGGTCTAGTTGGGAATGGTGTCTGTGATTTGTATTGTAACACTACTCAATGTCCCTTTGATACTGTTGACTGTGCTAAGCAAGTTTATGTAAGCATATGAATTTATTGATAGTAGTAAGATTAACATCCTCTTTCTTTCTCTCTCTCTTTCAATTTTAGCTTCCCGGTACACTCATAATGATCCTGTTTTCTCTTCCGAGCGTTCAGTTTGATCACAGTCACATTGAGCCGTTTCGTCGGTCGCTGGGACGCCTCATAAACGCTGAAGTTGAAGTACTCAGTTACTCCAATATATCAAAGGAAGAAGCAAGCATGTATATTGATAATACAAGAATTGATGCACCACTAAGGTAAGAAAGAGAGAGAGAGAGAGGGAGGGAGGGAGGGAGAGAAGGAGGGAGAGAGAGAGAGAAGGAGGGAGAGAGAGAGAGAGAGAGAGAGAGGAAAGAAAAGTGGAGAAAAGAAATACATGTACTTTTTATAATCTTTTATTTATTTTTCTTGTAGTTACTGGAAGGTTACCATGCTTATCAACATTCAATACTGTGTACAGGCTTGTCCCACATCAATAGAACAAGTAAGGGAAATGACACACATTGAATCAGTTACTGTTGTCATCATTCTTTTATCATTATTATTGTTACTACTGTATGTCATTATTATCCTGTAGGTGATAAGGATTGTTAGAGCATCTTCTGGCAGTGTGAAATTAGATGATTTTGGCATTGTGGAAGCAATCGGTAAGTTAGGGAAACTTCAAAGTGGTGTACATGTACATATACATACATTGTACAATCATACATGTACATGTATACCAGTACACTTGGTTCGTATATACAGTATAATACAGTATATGTACATATACTTACATGAGCTCTCTATGATCTAATGTATAGTTGTCATTGTCTATGTGGTTTCTACTAGTGACTTTGTGTGGTTTGTCTTGGCCCATACTGTGGCTCTACTATACAGTGCATGTATTGTGAATGTCATTTGTGGTCAGAATAGGAAAAGTCCATTTTATGGGACATGCCACCACATTGCCACATTAGGTCATCTTTTATTGCTGAGCAGCCAAAATTTCTATCATAATTGTCTCATTGTACTATACATGTACATGTACTTGACCTCGAGATGCACACATGTACATGTACATGTAATAGTTATAAAATAAATTAGACTTTTAAACTCCCATGTTTGTTCTTTTACTTTATGTTTATTAATCCTACTACTTGCAGTTATTAATGTTTAATAATTAAGGCATTAAATTTTAGTTTTATGCATTTATTACTATATTTTTATTCAAATTAATTATCAATTTATTCTAATTTATTTCTTTTTTTCTTTATTTCCAATAGAGGGCTCGCCTCCCCCTCCTCCAAGCTCCCCAACCACGCCCCCAAACAACTCAGCGTCCGCTACCTCAATAATAGTTATCATTGTATCAGTCTCAGTTAGTATCCTAATAGTAGTACTAGTCGTTGGGGTTCTTGGTAAGAGAGTAAGAGACAATGGCGGAGTTGGTAAAGTATTAAAGAAAGTCCGGTCTCGTGGAATATGGCATGTTGACGGGCGAGATCAGACTAATAATTCCGGTTCCAATACACAAGATACTACCGATTTGGATAGACGCTCTTCCTCGCCCGAATGTGTAGCTGATTCCTTTAGCCAGACTGATAGGAGAGGCTATTACATATGGCAGCCGATTAAAGTCTCTGTCGACGGAGAGGAAAGTGGCTCTGTAGCAGTCATTGGTGAGAGGGGTAAAGATTTGAGGAGATGGACTCCACTTCATTGCGAGACTGTTCGTTTCTCTGGCGACAATACCCTACAGGATATACTCATGAGGGACCACAGTCAACTGGACGCGCAAGGCCCCGGTGGATTCACGCCTCTAATGATAGCGATTGTGTCACAAGAAAAGAAAAACCGACACAAGTTGATAACAGTTCGTACGGACTCCTCCTCCTCTTCATCTGATCAGAGCGAGCGCGATATCCTCATGACGAACTGTGCCCCGTCTTATTCCCACCCAGGTGCAGTTGACGGTATGATACTCCCCGGCCACTACCCTGGACACCACCCACCTCACATCTCTCCCTACTCTCCAGTTGGTATTCTTGTGTCTCATTGTGCTAACGTTAATATTACTAATGATTACGGACAGACTGCTCTTCATTTGGCTGCCAAGCTTGGTCGAGAGGATTATATTCACATTCTGCTCTCAGCTAAGGCTGATCCTAATATTCAGGACATGTGGGGACAGACCGCGCTTCATGTTGCTATTGGAGCTGCTACTCCTGGAGCATTCAAGGTACGAGTCTTGTATATTCTTGTATATTCTAGTATATTGTTGTAGACTTTTGCCTTATTTATATTTTAATTTTTGCATTTTCTTGTATCATCTCATATATTCTTGTATATCTCTGTATATTCTTGTGCATTATTGTGCATTCTTGTATTCCCTCAGGCTTTATTGGCCTATCCAAAGACGAGTATGGAGTTGAAGAGCATGGGCGGAGTGACCCCACTGATAATGTGTGTCAAGATGGCTAATCACCCTATGCTACAGCAACTCATCACTAAAAACGTGGACATTGCAGCCACTGACAATGAAGGTAAGAATAATAAAATAAAATTATGATTTTAATATTTTCTACATTAAATTTTAAATTTATTTATTGATTATTTTTATTATTTTTAAAATTATAATTTTTAATCATTTAAAAATATTTTCTACAATTTATTTATTATCTATAATTATAATTTATTATTTTATTTTTTTTAATATTTTTATGATTTATTTATTAATTATTATTATTATTATTTATTTATTTCATTTTAAAAATATTATTTTCTTTTTTTTTCAGGTCGTACAGCAGTCCATTGGGCAGCAATGATAAACAATATCGAGGCTCTTAAAATGCTCATCAAACAAGGGCCAGACAATATTAAAGACGCTCCAAACGGTCGTGGGGAGACAGCACTCTACCTTGCCTGTAGAGAAGGGGCCACAGAGTGTGTCAGATATTTACTGTTTGAGTGTTTTGCTAATAATACTTTGATGGATATGCTGGATAAGTCTCCATTGCAGATTGCTTATGAGAGACAGCATGCTGATGTTGTAGAGCTACTTAAGCAAGCTAATCAAGCGTCTTGTGCTATGCCTATACCACCACCGCCTTCAAGCTATAACCACAAGGTAGGCATTTTGTCAAAATGTAATTTTTTACCAAAGCACCCTGTACCTTGGATATTTTCAGAAAAATTGATAAAAAATTACCCCCGATTTTTATTACATTTTCTGATGTATATTGATGTCCTTGTGCTATGTAGAAAGTTTGAGCCGATTCTGACTTAAATTTTTCAGGTTACAGCCATTTTAAGGAATTTGCCAAAATCCGAAAAATACCCAAGGCTATTAGCCTTGGGTATTTTCAGAAAAATGGCTAAAAAATCAGCCCCAATTTTTATTACATTTCTTGATACGTATTGATGTCCTGAGCTTATTCTGACTTGCATGAATTAATTTATTTCATGAAAATTTATCAGAATCATAATTATACTAATTAAATTTTATTTTTAATTTTATTTCCAGGTACACGTATCTTCAGCCAACCCAATGTTCAGCCGTGCCAATACTATCAAAATGGAGCCGGGGCTACCCTCCCCTCACATTCCACCATCGTACCAGCAATCACTAGCCAGTAACCTACCCATTGGCATGTCGTATCCCCTCCCACCACGAAACGGGCTGTATCCCCTAAGACTCCTCCCACCCACTACCACTAACCAAGGAGTTCCACTTATGCAACACTCTGATCAAGAAGGAGGAGGAGGAGGGCCTGGTATTCCAAGAGTATCGTCCATAGAGGCCGAGTTGGAGCAACTTGTATCGTTAGCTTTTACTTATCCAAGTCCTATCTCTCACACCACTTCTCCGGCTACTCAAGGAATTTCATCTTTTGAGCAGACCTCGCCCGGTCACTCTACTCCAGGGGAGGGTGTGTCTCCTGGCCTATCCCATCATCAGGATTATTCTCCGGCTAGTTCTAATTCGCCATCAGTCTATCCAGTCAGTAATCAGACCACGCCTCCAGCATCTCACGTAACCACGCCCCCTGCGTCTCATTTGGGTGGAGCTGGATCTCAGCCTTTAAAGCACCTTCCACTATCGACTGGGTATTCTCAAGATTATCAGCCAAACTCTGTCTCATCTGTCGATCAGTTGTCCTACAACACGGCCCTACAGAGTATAACTCATGCTCACCTACCTGGTGGCCATAGTCCACCGATTGCGCCAATGACTTCACCCGATCCGTTGTCTCTACCGCTAGCATCGTCAAGCCAACCCAACGGACTATCCCCTGGAGGACAAGGGACGTCTTTTACGACAAAAGAAAACCACAGTCCGTCGACAGGCTACCAGTGCTTTCCTTCACCTCCGAAAGAAGTCGGGGAGTATTGTTACCCAAAACCTCATACTGTTGATCCTACTGCCGACATTATAAATAGTCTAACTCCTTCACCGGAAGACTATAGCTCTCAACAGACGAGTGTAGAGACCTCGTCTCCATCGCAGTACCTACCCCAGCATCAGTCTACGGTCCTCAGACATTATGCATATGATTACAGTGCTGCCACTTACAATCCTGCCCAGTTGTGTGAGGGCGAGTATCATCAGCAGCATCTCCCGGGGATATCAGTATCTTACAATGCGCACGAGAGCACTGTATGAGGTCTTCACAATGCATAATAGTAGTGCATGCTTACTGGTGTAAATAATAGAGACTATAGCTATTGTATTTTTGTATTGTCGTGAAATGCTTAGTGTCTTCTATATGTTTCATTGTACTACTACTACTAAGTAAAGAGCAACTATTTTTCCTCCGTCTCTCTCTGTATCATACACACATTTCTTTATTTTCTATATTTTCAGTCATTCCATCCTCCTCTCTCTCTCTCTTTCTTTCTCTTGACAGTTAAATCTACGATACTTTTAATGATAATAAATACTATTGTTATTTTCAATATTCATTTCCCTCTTTTTCTATTCTCTCTTTATCCTTTTATTACTAGTACTTCTTTGTTATATTATGATTCGTGTTTTACATCTGCTGTAAATGTTATTTTACCTTTTATTATTATTATTATTATTATTATTATTATTATTATTATTATTATTTCTGACTGTTAAACTGTACTATGTAGTTGAAATTTATTATTAAAATAAAATGGATGCAATCTATAATAGCTAAACTAAAGTGGTCTCAATGAAAAAGGCCATATTCATACGCTGTATTTGTCTCAATAATAATTTGTGATCAGAATTGGATCATGTTTTACATACATTCATTTATAAAAGACAATATTACAAATCAGTAAAGCCAGTGAATTATTATCTTTCTCTCTATTGGATAGTCTTTGAAATTCTTTTTATACCAACTATGAGTGATCCTAGCTGAAAGTAACAGTAGACCAATAGTGGAAAAGAGAGGCAATAGGAGATACAAGTTATGGCAGTTACTGCATAGGAGCAATGATAAGTATATGAGTATCTCTGCTGTGTAGTGTGGAGAGCTTACATGATCAAACCAATCTCCTTTTGGAATGGCATATCTTTCATTTCTTTCTCTTAATTTCGCTAGTATGGTGTGACATTTGAACTGATGAAGACTTGACCACAGAAACAGCACAATCCCTGCAGCTTGCTTCCAAGTGCAGTGCACCAAAAAACTCCATTTTATTGGGATGTGGGTCACCTGGTGACCATTGTCTAGCTGATGGAGTGCAAGTGGTGCCAATGAAGTGTAGAAAAACAGTCCAAAGGCGAAATGGCCGAGATGCATTCGACTCGATCCAAATCGTGTAATAAAAAATGATTCATAAGTTCTCCTAAAAAGTTGTAACAGGATTACTAATAGAACCAGAGCCACCTCAAGTGGGATATGACCACTTCGTATAACAATAGATTTGGTTGGCTTTGCAAATGGTAAAACTCTGACATCAAAGTGGAGAAAAGAAGCTATGTACTCATATTCTGCTGTATCGATAAAGGCCAAGCAGGATATAAAAACGGTCCAAATAAGACCCCACAGGTAGAAATATGCAAACCACCTAATAAAGTGATACCAAACTTGCATCTAAAATTTTTTATTTCTAACTTTTTAGGAACAGTGATGTCAAAAAGATTGAAGTTCTCTCTTCTGGTTTCTTTCCTCGTCTTTCCATAGTAGACAAACGTTTGGAATATTCCAGACAATACTGCCCTGCAGGGAAAGACCATATTTAAAAAGAGAGACAGAGAAATTGAGCAAAAATATGGCAGCAACAAAATCTCCATTTTTCTTTAATAACTAGTTTATAACTAGCTTATTAATAACTTTTAATAAGCAGAATTACTGCCGTATTATACCTAAATATCTAATTAATCGTATAAAAGTAATATTGAGTAATTAATTTGTTTTTGTAGGAAATTCTGCCAGTTTCTTGTACATAACAATGTACCTCTCGATCTCTTTATAGGAAGCAGACCTACAGACAGAGACCCACCGAGAAAAAGAGGTGGGCGGAATGGAGAGAATCGCTCTTCCATCTCTCATCGTCCTAGTCTTCTTATTGTGCTTCTCAGGACAAAATGTACACTCAACTTTCTCTCCATTGGCATCTGACAATGAAAAATACAAGTATGCAATACCTCAATTAAGTACAGGACTTTTTGAGTTTTTCTTTCAATACAGGAATTTAGTCGTTGAGATGTTTTTCCACGTGTACGATAATTACATGGTAAGCAGATGCATGTACATGTACATGATATAATGTGACTTTATTTGTTTTTATTTTTGAATAGAAATATGCATACCCAGCTGATGAACTGATGCCTTTGAGTTGTAAAGGGAGAGTGAGAGGGAGAGAGCCTAGTCGAGGAGACGTGGATGATTCTTTGGGAAGGTAAACGAAAAAGAGAGAGAGAGAGGGAGGGAGGGAGGGAGAGATAGAGAGAGAGGGAGGGAGGAGGAGAGAGAGATACATGTACAATAGTACATTTAGCGAAATAAATATTATTATTATTATTATTATTATTATTATAAAAAGTACAATAGTTAGAAATAAAACAGGTTGAAATGCATACACTTAGATGTAGAAAAATATGAAATTTAAGAACGAAAGAAAAGTTATTATTATTATTATTATTAATCTAATTTGTAATGTCTATCCTAAATTATACTTTCATTTACATGTTGGCAGGCAATAACTCATATTATTATTATTATTATTATTAAAAAAAATTATTTATTAATTTCTTGTTAGGTTTTCTCTAACTCTAATTGATAGTCTTGATACTTTAGCTGTAAGTCCGCACACTCTAGTATACTTTAGTGCACTCTAGTATACTCCAGTAAACCCTATATTATTTCCAGGTGATTGGTGCTATTGATGAATTCAGTGATGGTCTGAAGAGAGTCCTAAAAGACGTTAGGTTCGACGCTAATTTGACAGTATCAGTTTTCGAGACTAACATTCGGGTTTTAGGGTAAGCTACTCATCAATTAGGTTGTACATGTACATATACATGTACATGTAGGTAGATAGGACCTTATTATTTCTATAATATGGCAAAATAGCTATGAGAGATTTCTCCATTTTATTATAATTTTCTGATACATACATGTACATGTATACATAACTTTTTAAGTTGCTCAAAAATTAGGCCAGAGTCCCTGCACTACAGTACAGGGACTTTGGCCAAATTTCGCCAAAAATGAAAAGGTATAAGAATCCTGCATTTTTATGATTTTTCTCATGCATATACATGTCCTTATGCTGTGTATCAACTATGAGTTGATTTTAATCAAAATTAGATGTAGATTTCTTATGAGTTAAATTTCATCAAAATGGCCAAGAGAGAGTTTTTATTGCATTTCCTGATGTATATACATGTACATGTTCTTTCGTTGTGTAGCAAGTTTGAGCTAATCCCAGTTGAAATTTAGATTCTTTAAGAAATTATTAAAGTTGTTTTTAAGCATGCATATAAATATGGCTATATATGTGCATGTTATTCATGTCAGATATTGTCTGTGTTCTTGTTACTATGAAACTATTTGGTTTGGCTCACTTTGACTAAAATTAGCCAAAAACTCACTACAGGGCTATTGTTAATGATGAATGATAGTAGCTGCCTAATAGTGTCAAAATAGTATTTTAATAAAGAGGAATCATATTGAGACATCAAATAAAACTTTTGCATGACGTACAGTACATGTACATGTAGATATACGTCTAGCATTGGGGCAGATAATAATCTCATTGTACATGTATAATCATACTGATAAATCATTACTTCTTTCTCCCTCCCCCCCCCTCTCTCTCTCTCTTTCTCTCTCTCTCTCCAGTGGTCTATTAGGAGCTCATTTTGCTGCTGATGCTCTAAAGTCTAAAGGCCATCCTCTCCTCCAGTGGTACGATGGAGAACTAGTGGGTATGGCCAAAACTGTCGGTGATAAGCTACTGCCAGCATTCAATACATCAACAGGGATACCATATTCCAGAGTAAGACAAACAGTAATACATGTACTACTAGAATTAAGACGATGCATGTGCATGTACATGTATGTACATTGTACAAGTTTACAATCACCATATTAATTCATATTCTAACCCTATTCCATTCCACATTATATAATTAACATTACAAGATTATCAGAACGATAATCTATGGATTCTCAATTAGATTAAGTTACAAATGTATCTAAATGTCTTGTAGTGATTGTAAGCTTAAGTCCAACAACTTGAACTCCTCGAGCTCCAAGCAGCAACTGAGAAGTTTGTGAATTAGAATACTAAAAATTGCATACAAGAAATAAATAATTTCTTTAATTTATTAAATATAAAGATTACTTTAGTAATCATTGCGTTCACATACTCTGCAATCTTTTCTCAAAGAAATTCCCATGCTTGTGGTTATCAAACAGGAAGTCAATGAATCTAATTAGAGACAACCCACGAGTGCCTTTTACAAATTATCTACTATAAGTACCAGAGCATAGCTATTGTTCTGTATCGTTTCCACGTTGGAGTTTCCAATCCCGGTAATTTTTTGGAGGGGTGTGAAGAGCACCCCGCCCCTATAATTAACTATGATGTAATGCTCTGCCCCTTTAATTAATTAATTAATTATTGTGATACCCAACCCCTTTAATTACTGCAAGGAGATAGTCATGAACAATAATTATGTATGGTTAGTGTAAATTTTGAGGCTTTAAAGAAGAGCATTTGCTTGTTCTTTAGCATAATTTCATGTTTTGTGGTTAAAACAGGATGTCAATGAATCTAATTAGAGACAACCCACGAGTGCCTTTTACAAATTATCCACTATAAGTACCAGCAATGTAGCCATGTCAGTTTTATTCACGTTCAGTTCACGTTGGAGTATCCAACTCAACCCTATAATAATTTTTTGGAGGGGTGTGGCTGTAAAAGTGCACCCCGCCCCTTTAATTAATTATTGTATTAAATAATTATTTGCAGTTCCTTTACTTAATAAATGGACAATCGTCTTCATTTTTGCTAGCTTAGGCTGAGTCTTAATGTTTTACACTCATCTAATACCATGTAGCTAGAACCTTTTGTGGCCCAAAATTTTTGTGAATTTCAAGATTCATTCAAAATTCACGAAAATAAAATCCACAAAAATTGATTTAATATGGTCGGTCAAATGGCAGAAAATTGTGAAAATGAAAACACGGAATAGATTTTTTGATGAATTTGCGAAATTTTGGACCATGAAAATTTCTTGTTATACTAATATACATTATCTTTTTCTAATGTAATAATTCTCTCTCCTCTAACAGATTAATCTCAGATATGGTATGAATGACACTGAAGCTGGTAACACTACCTGCACCGCCTGTGGGGGTACCATACTGATGGAGTTTGCCGCCCTCAGTCAGTTAACAGGAGACCCAGTCTACGAGGTAAGAGGAGACCCTTTGAAGGTGTGGCTGCTAATAGATGTGGTTTGTCAATAGAGAAAGGCCCACCAGGCGATGGAGGCTATATGGAACTTGCGTCATTCGGCAAATCATTTGGTTGGCACTGTAGTGAATGTACACAATGGACAGTGGACTAATAAAGGTAATGTATATTAATACATGTACATGTACATGTATTTATGTGTACTTCTAGCAAGAATTAATGAATATCACTTTGTACATGGAGCAAACATTGCTGTGAACATAAATGTACATGTACATGTACATTTATAATATAAACTAAACTATTAATAAAAATGCATATATACAGTATACATATACATGTTACATGTATGAGTGTCTGAGTTAAAAATAGATAGATAAATAATAGAACATAATAGTATACAGTAACATTTATTTACATGCATGCATAAAGTACATGTGTACATGTATTTGTACATATACATACGTGTACATATACATGTATGTACATGTACATGTATGTACATGTACATGTATGTACATGTACATGTAGTACTTGTAGCAATAGTCACTTCATTAGAATAAGGATAATCATGTTGTTTCTCTCATACACAGACAGTGGTGTAGGAGCTGGTATTGATTCATATTATGAGTATTGTCTAAAGTCATACATACTACTGGGAAAGAAAGACTACCTCACTAGATTTACTAAAGTAACAAAAATTAAATAATAATAATAATAATAATAATAATAATAATAATAATAATAATAATAATAATAATAATAATAATAATAATAATAATAATAATAATAATAATAACGGTATATACATGTAGTCCCTTCTTTCTTTTGTGTTTATTATTATTGTTGTTGTTATTATTGTTGTTGTTGTTGTTGTTGTTATTTATTTATTTTTATGTAGCATTATTCTGCTATCAAACGTTATGTGTCAAACGGTCCATTTCTATTGGGAGTCAACATGAACTCACCAGCTAAACCAAGCAAGCACTTCATGGACTCACTCCTCGCCTTCTGGCCTGGACTACAGGTACAACTAGATTATTATTATAATAAAAATTGGGAGTGATTTTTGAGCCATTCAGATTTTGGCATAAATTATTTTTTAAATGGCCATAACTTGGAAAAATTCAAGTCGGAATTGGCTCAAAATTTCTACATAGCAAAAGGACATCAATATGTATCAGAAAATGTAATAAAAATTGGGGGTGATTTTTTAGCCATTTTTTGAAAAAAGCATGGGCTATAGCCTTGGGTATTTTTCAGATTTTGGCATATTTTTTAAAATGGCCATAACTTGAAAAATTCAAGTCGGAATCGGCTGAAACTTTCTACACAGCATAAGGATGTCAATATGTATTAGAAAATGTAATAAAAATTGGAGGTGATTTTTTTAGCCATTTTTTGGAAAAAAGCATGGGCTATCCTTGGGTATTTTTCAGATTTTGGCATATTTTTTAAAATGGCCATAACTTGAAAAATTCAAGTCGTAATCTGTTCAAACTTTCTACACAGCATAAAGACATCAATATGTATCAGAAAATGTAATAAAAATTGGGGGTGATTTTTTAGCCATTTTTTGAAAAAAGCATGGGCTGTAGCCTTGGATATTTTTCAGATTTTGGCATATTTTTTTAAATGGCCATAACTTGAAAAATTCAAGTCGTAATCTGTTCAAACTTTCTACACAGCATAAAGACATCAATATGTATCAGAAAATGTAATAAAAATTGGAGGTGATTTTTTAGCCATTTTTTGAAAAAAGCATGGGCTATAGCCTTGGATATTTTTCAGATTTTGGCATATTTTTTAAAATGGCCATAACTTGAAAAATTCAAGTCGTAATCTGTTCAAACTTTCTACACAGCATAAAGACATCAATATGTATCAGAAAATGTAATAAAAATTGGAGGTGATTTTTTTAGCCATTTTTTGGAAAAAAGCATGGGCTATCCTTGGGTATTTTTCAGATTTTGGCATATTTTTTAAAAAGGCCACAACTTGAAAAATTCAAGTCGGAATCGGCTCAAACTTTCCAAAATTTTTTTCTAAAAATGCTCGTAAACATTTAAAGGGTAAAGCCAGGCTACATGTAGCATTTGAAGCATTAATTCATTTTGCTTTAGCAGAGACAAGTTACGTGTGTAATTAAATGTACATGTACATGTATAACGTTTCTAGCTGCTAGAGAACCACTGTAGCCTCAGGCTCTTGTACTCAATATAAAAAATATATTATTTTTATAAAATATCAGGTGGTATAAATAAGGGAGTGTTTGAAATTAAATGTTTGCATACAAAGTGTGCATTTTTATTGGATACATACACAGGATTATGTAACATTAGTTAATGGACTTAGTGCACATGCATGTCATGGAACAGTTTCACACGTGCCAGCTGTAAGTCTTAGGTCATAGTTTAAATTATTAAAAATCAAAATTGATAGACACTTGCCTTTAATAGTGGAGCATGTACATACTTGAAAGCCATAATGAGTGAGTAAGATAATATATAGACACTGCCCTTCAAGGAATTAAAATATTGACATATAACATGATTTTTGCTGGTTGTATGCACACACACACAGTTAAATAACATTACCTCATGATACTAAAAACTACGTATGTCTTTACTAGTGACTGTGTGACCAATGTACAAAATACTACATCATATATACTATTGGTAGGAGTGTCATTCTTGAATACTATCACTTGTACTATTGATGTATGTATAATGTTAAAGCAATACACTTTTACTGCTAATTTCTCAAAAACTGCATTCAGAATCGGCTCA